TCGATGACAGCAAACAGAATCAACAGTCCCTAGGTGGCACCCTGCCCGCCCTCTCCATAGTTCTGCCCTCCACATTCTAATGAGATATGGCCCCGGAGTCACGATGCATTTTTCTGGGCCCAACATTTGCAAACAGCAAACGGATGGGCAACCATCTGCCAACACCAACGCCATGGGCTTTATCCATGAGATGCCCCTTGTTTGTGTCCACACTGGTAAAAAAATTACAGGAGTATTTTGTTAGACAAAGGTAACAACTTGTACCTTAAAAAACAAATAATAAAGTAACTTGCATCGATAAATAAATATATAAAAACAGTTGTAATCAAATCTTTGACTAGAAGTTGAGTTTATAGTTTATAACTTGCCAAGGCGTTTTTATTTTAATATTTTTATTTTGTGAGCTTAGACCGTATATTTTTTACAGACTAGCTAAATTTAAATCTGGCTTAGCTAAATAACAAAGAAAAATAAATAAAATAAGAAAAATTATGGCTTGTTTATCATTAATAGCTTGCCAATTTTTTTTAAATATGTTTATTTTGTGAGCTTAGACAAGCTTTATTCAAAATTGCGATAGAAAATTACTTTAAAAATGTGCAATGATATAAAAAATAAATACATTTCTTGGAAATAGATCTTAAATTTTAAACACAGGCTAAAGCCTAATTTATTTAGAAAATTTCCCATAAAATTTAAAATAATACAAAATAAATTATAGAACTCACATCAGTTTTTTGATTCTAATTTAAAAGTGTATTTATTAATTTTTAATGTTTCATACAGCACAAAATTATTAAGTACATACTCACTTTAACTTTTAATATATAAGAAGTAAATCAGTAAAAATCAAAATGAATGTATTAATTGCTTTATTTTTCTCAGTGCGAAGGCACTTATGTTTTGCATATGAAATCGCGCACATAATCATCAGGGACACGGCGGCAGCGAACTCTGACTCTGGTTCCGTTCAAACTCTCGATCCCCCGGCCGCTTGCAGAAATGCTAATTAGGCGTAATTCGCATAAAATTCGCAAACATTTGCTGTCACTGGAGTCCGGGACTCGGAATTCGTTCTGCAGCCAGCTTTTGATTTACGAGTTCCAGTGCCCGGCTTCCAATCTGACCAATCTGGCCAATCTGGCCTATCAACGGCTCATCAACGGATGCCTGGCAGTCGAAAGACCTGCTCCAATCAGCGGTCCATCCGTCATCAGCTCCCTGCTTAATTACTAAGTGTATGTGTAAGCCGATATGATTCAGTTTATTACGAGATTTGGCCCTTGGTTCAGGTCGCAGTCCAGAGTTCATAATGATTAAATGTGGTACCTAGTACCTAACCCTCCTTTTGTATGAAATTCGAAAAGAAAGGGATTTTTAAGTAGCAAATTACGTGAAAAAGAAATTAGCAACTTTTTAAGTAAATGTATATTTAAGTGAAATTTTCTTTTTCTTTCCCAAATCAATTATTATAAAACTCGAAATTATAATTCTCATATATATATAACCCTAAGTATTTCCAATCGAAAATAATGGATACATTTTTTTATTTTTTAGCGGAGTCATTTCCAGAATATTGGGACCAGTTCTTATGCCCTAAACCCTTAAACAAAATTTTTCAGCTCAAAGTAATATAAATATTTTTTTTCTTTAGACAAAATAATAAAAGGGTAAAATTTTCAACAAAATATTAAAAACAAGAAAATTTACATTTGCCTTTGTGTAAAAAATGACACTTTTAAAAGTTTGCTCAAAAAGCAAATAATTTACATACCGCTTGAGCAACGATAAAATGAATTCCGATTCTCCCTTTCTCCTTCGGTCAAACTTATCTAAATTGAATATCTCGCCGGCCAGATTGAAATTGCTAAAACCATTTGCAGTTGTTTGTGTTAATTAAACGGTTAAGTTGTTCGGCGGGACTGTGGGCGGCACTTCTCAATTGAAATCGAGTTTGGCATAGTTTCCGCGAACGAAGTCTGGCTTTATTCACTTAACGCAAGTACTTATCATTCCAGGACGAGCGGGGGGTGGCAACTATTGTCAACTTTCTTGGCCGAAAAGCGCTTCCTTTGCTGCCGCTCGCTAAAAAGGATTTCAATGTCACACCGCCGCAGCTGTTCGACGGATCCTGGATGCTCGGATGGTCCATTAACCCACGGGCGCATCAAGTTTGCCGTGGCGGTCGCCACAAAAGCGGCGAAAATGAAAATTCATGAAACTTTATCACAGCGAAAAACCGGAGATGGAGTCTGATGGAGTCTGATGGAGAATGGAGCCACTCGCTCCACGCTCCACTTTTGTGGTCAATTAACGGCCTTCGAGTTTGTTTTTGTGTAATGAATTTAAATGACCCACTGCGCCGGCTCATCAAGGGTTGCAAAGTGTTTTCCAACAGGACGAAGGAAGGAAGGACATTGGGGCATTTGGAGGGGCATCCCGGTGAGATTCGGACGGCCTGCCTCAAGATCAGACATCCTAAGCCCGCCCAGCTCTCACACTCACTGTGACGGCACCTGTCGCCGTTAAATTTCCAACAATTTAGCTAATGACCTTCCATGGCGGCTGGGGTCAGTGCTGACTAAAACAGCTAAATAAGCTATTTTGAAATGGCAAAAAAAAAACTCTTAGATTGGTCGATATATTGAAATAAAATGGCTATATAGTTTAAATTCATATAGTTTAAAATAATCTTTGCTCTTAAAAAGGTTTACTGTAATTAAAAAAAAAAGATTGATAAGAACTGCTATTTATATAACCAAAAATAACCCTTACTTAAAAGTAAAGAACAATGTTGCATTAAGTTGTACACTGATTAAATAATAAAACAGTACAAATAAGGAAATCATAATTATAAATTCGATGCCTTTTAAATAGCATGATTTAATAATTAAATATTTTCATTAATGTGGAAAATGTTAAATAAAACATAGTTCCTATTTAATTTAAATGCTTTTTTATTACATTTTAATTAAGTTTTCAGACATAAAAATCAATCCCAAAATTAGTCAAATGAATTGAAATGAGATTTAAATTCAGTACACAATTTTTGGACTCAGTACGTTTTTTTAAGAGTGTAAATATTTGTTGTCTTAATTTTTAGACATATTTATCATTAGCCCAATTTAAATGAAATGTCCACATTGATTGCTCTCTTAAAACCCAGTAAATTTAAAAAGTTGTCAAATAAAGTGTTAAATGGTCTAAAAAAAACTAGAAAGTTTTCCATTTTTCACTCTAAAAAATAGCCAAAAATTGTCAGAAAATTGCTGAGCTCACAGCTCACTTGTGGGGTATGGATTGTGTGTAAATAGCAAATTAATTATATTCCATGCAGAGAAATTAATCAAGCGTAGCGTTGGCCAAACCAAAGCCCACTACAAGCTCTAACTGAACTCTATTTAACCCTAAAAACAAGCCACGCCCCGTGCCACCGTCCACCGCCTACATCCACCGCTCAGGTGTGAGCAAGAATTGTGCCCAGCTTGCGGCCATTTCATTAATCACACTCAACACTTAGCAGGAGTCTGGGCCACGACTTGGACTTGCGTCCTGGGCTCGGCTTGGTTTTGGCTTCGGGAAGGGGGCAAAATATTCCCGCCTGTGGCCAATGTGAAATGGTTTTCGGGGGGCCTGTCTGGGCCAACTCAGATTATTTATTATTGTGCATATTCAATGAAGAAGGCGGGGCTGCTGCAATCCTACTGCAGGTGATCGAAACGAGATTGTTTTTGAATTGCCCCAAAAAAAAAAGACAAAAAACGTTATTGGCTTATGGACATAAGAAACAACATCAGTTGCATTTGTAGAATAAATCTTAGAAAATCAGAACATTCATTTTTTTTTTTTGTTTATGTGATTATAGCGTGAAGCTCAGATGCAAAGTCCAAATTATTTTTAGTAAAACCTATTAGTTTAGAAACACAGTAAAAATTCAAGCATTACATACCTTAAATTTATTTAAATTTAAAGCTGTATGGCTGTATATCATAAAGTATATCCAGATATATATATTTATGGAGGAGATGCGAAAATGTTCCCCGACTTCAGTACATTTGTATTACAATTAATTGCCAAAATTATTTAAAAATTAGTTCAAGGATGACGTAAAATCTGAGATTGTCAGGCAATTTACGTGTTTATAATTATATAATAATATATTAACATGAGCTCGGCTTGGCGATGATAGCAATATATTCAGCGTGCGTTGAAAGGAAAACAATTTTAAAACTAGGAAAGAGCGCAAAAAGCATCCATATTTTTCGAACCAAATCCCATAAGCTCTTGACTCTATTCTAGACTCGCAAAGTTTCCTGTTTCACACTTTTCTGATTGGGAAAACTGATGGAGTGAAGCAGATCGCTGCAAACGAAAATCGCTTAAATATGTCAGTTTTTCCGCCGAGAGGGTGAAAAAAGGAACGAGAAGTCTGATCGTCGAACTGAAGTTTCGTGTTTTGTCCCAATTTTTACCCATTCAAGGCGTTGCCAGACGCACCACTTGGTAATACTTCTACTTTTAGTCCCTCTACTGTAACTCTTAGTCCGTAGCTGTTAGTTATAAGCTTTCGCCGATGCCGCTTCTGTCCAAATGGCGCTTTCAAATATTTTTACAAACGAAACTTGGTTTTTATGGTCATAACAGCTCTGTTGTCTCTCCTTAACAGCATCGATACAGAGGAGCCGCTGGTAGAGCCGTGTTATTAACAGATTAACTAAAGCGGGGACTCCAACCGAGGCGTTAAACAAAAGCCGAGACACTTAATAACGAGCTAGGACGCGCACCGATATACTATCGGCCTGATTTAGCATATGCGTTTAGCACACTTTTTAAACATTAAATTTGGCGGCAATAGATTGTCTATTAGCTTTTTTTCAAACTGGAAAACCAGAAAACTGTGATTTACTAGAAATTTAGGTTTGTCTAGAATGGATTAATTCAATATATTTATGACCTATCAATGTTATATTTTTGCAAACCAAAAGCAGTCACACTTTTTTTTTTTTAAGGACATCATGAGTTTGGAAGAACAGTTTATATCTATACGGAAATCTGTGTTTGCACAATGTAAACGCATTCTTGGCACTTTTTTAAGCGACTGTTGCTGGTATGGTAAGTAATTTGATGCGATCTATGTTTTACATCTACAAATATGCATGTGCATGTAGCAAAATATGTGTATAGATACAAAAGAAGTTTAAGTACACTTTGCACTGAAACACCATATAAAATGTTCGTCAACTTTTTTGGCCCAAATGTGAGTAAAATCCGTGTCTTTATTTCAGACTTAACAACAACTCAATCACATCACGAAATTAGTATTATACTAAATGTTTCCGGAATCATTCCAGAATGGGACAAGAAACGATTTCTCATGTTAAAAGCACCTGATGTACCAGAATCGTTCCGGCAGATCGTGTCTCCTGATGGATATATCCACCGTAATCTTTTTCAAAACTGGTTTCACAGTAATTTCAAACCAACAAATTACATTCACTTGAATGGCATTCAGCACACTATTACTCTTTGCCCGACTTTAAAATTCCCGTGGTCGCAATGGCCGCTGGAAGATCCTCCAGTTTGTCCCGAAGTTTTTAACAAATGGAGTTGGTACGCTACAATGTCGGAGAGACCGGGTGTTAACGATGATCGTACTTTTTTGATTCGTTGCCCAGAATTGGTGATTGAATTGACTAAAGACGTCAAACATTTTGAAGAAGTCTTTAGGACCATGACACGGCTTAGCCAACAAATTAATTTAAAACACATAAATAAGCATATGATAAGATCCTTAATGCTCCATCAAATCTCAAACGTTGACTGGGAAAGGAGTGTGAAAAGTCTTGTTGCGGAGATGTGGACCCGTCTTGTGGATCACCTGCGTGCCGGCCGACTGGACTATTTTTTAGGCTATGGACACAACAGCTTTGATTGCATGGATCGCGAAGAACTCGATGAATGTCTATCTAAAGCTCGAATGAAACTTTTTGAACTTCTCGAATCGTATTCCATCGAATTCGATGATGAAATCCCTGCCTAAATAAGATCGTATATTGCAGTCTATAAATCATTACCCGAAAAACTTCTTTTAGTTTATTCCAAATGTTATTAATTTAAAGTAACAAATAATTTACTGTATTCAACAAAATAATTATGCAAGAATTGAGTATTGAATAAAATAAAAAAATAAAAAATAAAAAAATGTAAAATTGTTATCTAAAATGTCGTTCTTATTAAAAAAAAATATTATGTAACATTTAATGTACTGAAAAAACATAACAAAAGTGTAAAGTTAAGATTTGAAAAAGGAACAAACAAACTTTTCTTTTTATCTTTAGTTACTTCGAAAACTTTTTTTTTTATTAACGAAGAAAAGATTAATCATGTTACATTTGAGGTATTGAAAGTATAAGCAAAAAAAAAAAATACAAAAATAAAATATGTTGTTGTGAATATTCAAGTTTTGCATTATTTATGTTATGTTCTATAAGCATTGCACTTAAACCGTTTAAATATAAGAGACCAAAATCTGAAATATATAAAAAAGCCCTTCTGATACACGTGATCAATGGCTTCCTTCTAATGTGACCGAAAATTGAATTTAAAATGTTTCGAAAAAATATAAGAATAAATTATATAAGGGCAAGCCTTTTCAGATTTCTTTATCCCATTTCAACTGTAAATATAAAACAAATGCCTTAATATTTATTAGCTTGGGTTTCTAAACACACACTATCCATCTATTTTATTGGCCAATATATATGCACCAAATAATCCCACGCCAATGGAACAATAACAATTTATGATCATTGACGAAAACGACTGAATATTTAGCCAAAGTAAACAAATGCCAAACTCGTTTAGAGGCAAATTGCAGCTCCGTCTTGAATAAGAAAAAAAAAACTGAAATCAATTCCATCGAAACCGTAAAGAAACCAAAACCCGGCTGAGTCATTCCCAATAACATCACGAAATGGATAACTCCGGTTGAAGGTGTCATCTTCAAATCACAGTCTAGCCAAAGGTCGTCCTTCCTCAGTTCACACGAACAACAGATCGGAGAAATAACAGCCCACTAACAACATAAAAAAACAGAAAAATATAAAAACATCATTGAAGTTGTCGGATCAGCGAAGCGTTTGATAAAGGTTTTTTATGACTTGGCCATTTTGTGAGGCCTTTGCCTTCTCGTGCCGTCGTTGTTTATGATTACTCGAGTACACAAAAGTCGACCCAATTACAACTTGTTTGTTCTGAGAGTGAGACGTCAACGTCATCATCCTCGCTCCACGGTCATCGACTATGTGCAGATGGCCAGCGATCAGCCTCTGACCTTGCCTCCAATTTTACTCCAATTTCGAGGCATTAAAGCGAAAATCAATTTAAATGGTAGCCGACAAATACCACAAAATAAAATGCAAAATAAAGGAAAAAACTAAAAGCACCAAAAAACTTGAATTGTAAGCAAAAGGCAGCGGACCACATGACGTATGCTGAATATGCAACAATTACTGACTTCTCGAAAAACATGCCTTGAGATTTGTATCTCTCGTTATGAGCTCAAGGAAAAGATGAGTTCATAAAAATTGCTGACCGTTAGTGCTTTTTATGAACATTTCAGAACAGAAAGAAAAACTAGAATTTTCGAAACCAACAATACTCAAAGTAATCGTTAATGTATCGAACACTTTCTTACCTGACTTGAAAATGGTTGTGAATATTAAATGTATAAGAAAAATTATTTCCTATTTGTTAAAAAAAAACGCAATAAAAAAAAGGCCTTCAATATCTATGTATTTGTAGGATACTTAAATGAATCGTTAATCGTAATAATTAATAACTCAGTTTATGGAATAAAATCTAGCACAGCAAAAATCAGCACCACTAAAATAATGAAGCGCTGTCGTAAAAAATAAAAGTTAGAAACAAAATAGTTTTTTAATTTTATTTAATATATAGAACAATTTTTAGCATAACTTTAAAATGGCTGTCAGTATAATTTGTTTTTAGCAAAATAATTGCCTTTAGTATTAATATTTATTATTATTATAATTTATTTCCTTCAGTTTAAAAGTTATTTGTACTATACTTAAATAATTCGTTAATTAACAATAATTCATTCAATACACAGAATAAATTCTAACAAGTCAAAAATCAACGTCGTTAATAATAAAACAGAGTGTGACACTCTTTTAAAAAATTCCATTGATCTCTTATCTAGACCTACACATAACTAGCATGTATCTAAACATTTTCATCCTAAACTTGGTAACTTGTGGACCAACTTTAGCACGTTGCTGACAATTTTCCTACCTGTTTCGTACCAGATTCTATTGGCCAACTGGCCGCGGCCGTTCGATTGAGTTCAACTTGCCAAAGGCTACCAGAGCTGACCCTGTTCGCACCTCGTTAAGTTTCCACTGGCATTTGGCAGTGCTCCTTCATAAGTACTCCGGTATCGCGGTAATGTAATCTCCTCTCGTTTTGTTCATGCCATTTTCTGTTTGAAATTTCCCCCAAAGCGCTGTCTATCAGCATCATCATCATCCACGGTGAACTTTGCAATCCGATCAGACAGAGTTCAGATGCTTTTGGCCTTCTAGTCTCAGTTTCTTGTATATTTTTGAATGGATCTGCCATTAATTTCAATCATCTCCAACACAGCGTTTGGCATCGTTGTTGAAATTGGTTTTCTTATTTCTGTTTCTTTTGAGTATTTCTTGTCACTTCTCTGGTGCATAATTTGTATGGACATCAAAATGCAATTCAATCAGTATATTTTGGCATTTTCTTTGCACATTTTTGGGTAATGACTAAGTGGAGTTGTAAATCATAATGGTATTGAAAGTCATAGCTCACGAAATTGTCGGAAATGTTTTAGGTTCTGTAAAGTGGTAAGTTTTCCACACGATTGGTTAACTTTGTTCTTTTGTAAGAAGTTTTTTAAGTGACCTTTTACGATATTTTGCTTACATTAATTTAATATTTTAAATACATACCGACTTTACTTTTTCTCCAAATCGACCTACTTTAAGTTACGTTTTTTCACAGTTCTTCAAAACACCAATTAGTCATGTGCAAATTGGCAAATATCATGGCGAATTAAAAAAAACCCAAATTTCTCAAATCAAATCAAGCTAAAAGTCACTTGAACGAATGACTGGCAAGTAAACGAAAAAGGGAGGAAAAATATCAGTGAACGTTAAGTAACTGTGGCCAAATGTACTCAACTAATCCGAAAGTGACAAAACAATTTGGCAAAACAAAGGCAAATTCGCTTTTGACCCATATGCGGCAGATTCTGCACTCCGTTAACCAAAACAATTCAATGGAGGAGCTTCGTCTGCGGCTTCGACTTTGGTTTGATTACAAAACCCATCGACAATTTGCCACAATTTGCGGTGGAGTGAAACCTTTTAGCTTTCGGCCGAGATGATGTATGGTATTTTGGGGGTTATTTCGAGAGTGGCCAGGAAGGAAGGGGTGGAGTTGCGCAAATCCGAGACAAAGACTGGGCCTGGTGATGATGATAGATCGTGGCGGAGTTTCTTCTTTTTTTTTGCCATTTTTTCGGCTTCTGGCGGATGTGGCATGTGCCATGGCTCCATAGGATGTTCTCCTCCGTTCGAAATACTTAAAACTTGGACTGTTTAGCATATTCATTGTTGATTGCAGCGACGTGATAATTATCATTCCTACGAGTTCGGCCGCTTTTGCTGTTCTGCCTTTAATTACCTTCCTCTTTTGGGTTTGCATAATTGCATTGTTGTTGCCGAAATCGTCATTAGAATTTTTATTTGCACAATAATCAACGAGTTCCGAAGTCATAAAAAAAACAGAGAACAACCCGAAACCGAACTGCATTGTTTTTGTGCAATGGCAGAGAATTCTGTTTTTGTTTTTTTTAGGAAGGGGGCAGCGAACTCCAAGCCAGAACAATGAGAACTAAATGCGTTTAACCAAAAGTTTGCGGTCTGTTTGCCAGTATTTTTTTGTTGCTGATTGGGAGATGGGGAAGATTTCGTTACCGGCAGAAAACTGCAATTGACAAATGATGCTGGGGATGAACCAAGTGATGAATGAACTGGCTGCAGTCTGCAGTCTGGAAAAGCCTTGAACCACTTGGCTTACACAGATAAATGTGTTGCCATTATTTATTTAAGTTTAAATTTAAATAAAAGGGAAAACAATACTTATATGTTTTTAAAATAATGATCTAAATCATAAATTATTATCTATTATAATAACCTATCTAAAATATTTTGCTTTTTGGAACGTAGTCCTTGAAAGTCAACTAAAATATTTATAAAAAAAAGTGCCTCAAGTTGCCCCACTCACTGCCCATAAGGCCATACTGATATTCTGTTTATTAATATTTTTAAAACAATGATCTAAGATAAAAATTATTATCTATAATCATAAAACATCTCCATAACATGTAGCTTTTTAGAATGTGAATACTTAAAAGTCATTTAAAAAATTAACAAAAACGAATACCTCAAATTGTTGTTAGAAAATTATACCTATTCTTAAACGAGCATTTAAAATTCGGTCTTTATATTCTTCAATCGCTGCTCATTAGGCAAAATAATAACCTCTTTAGGTTCACAGTGACTCTTAAATATGTAACCCGAACGCACTCAAATCAAATATGCATATGATACCTTTCAAGAATTCAGAGTACTCCAATAATGCTCTATTGATTTAAGCCACAAACATAAAACCACTTATGGTTAAAATGCGATCAGTTAGAGGTCAAACTTCGGTGACCCTGATGTAATGCCATTAAAGGTAATCCAATTCTCCACACAAAAGATGACTGTTGGCAGGCGAATTAAAAAACATTTCTAAACTAATTTAATAAATTACAGCATTAAGCCCATTAAGGCTGACAAAAGAATGGAAACGGAAAAGCTGAGCGAAAAATGCGTTTACTGTCATATCATATCGTTCATGGAGACGCGGGAAGCCGACATTTATAAGCCACATAATTACTTGATCATTGTTTTCGTCACGTATTAAACAATTTTCAGAAGAAGAAGCGTTACCGCCACCGCTGATTATGATGATGATGACGATGATGGATCTGCCCGGCTTCAACCTTCGAATGGGTAAAAGTCAAGGTCGCATGGAGTAAATTACCGTCGACTGCGGCGTGTG